GGCTTGCCGTCACTCTGTACGGTCTGGCATGTAACATTTACCAGGTTTCCCGGGCCACTCACACTCATACGCCACTATTTCGCCCACCACGCCGCCACCCAGCCAAGTGGCGCACCGCGAATGATAGATGACAGTCTTTGCACATAAGTAGATTATAGGCATCCTCGGCAATACATTTTAAGATGTGGCCGATCTTGTTTGCCTCGGTCATGCTGTCGTCAGCTTTGTGGCAGAGAGATAGCACGTCTTGTATATAGACGACATAGGACTCTGTCGAAGTTATGGTGACCCCGCTACTAACTGCAGCGGACGATCACCGCGGGTTCACGCTTAGCGAGCCACAGGGCCGCTACTCCGTTTACTCGCGTGTAGCGCACCGCTCCGCGCGCGCTCAACTAATAAGGCGTTTAGCGCGGCGCGGCAAACAGACAGTGTTCTAATGCAAAACACAACACTTTATTGCCACTGGCGGCAGCCCGAACAACAGTACAACGTCCGCTCCCGGGACGTCGGTAGCAAAGGCACCCGCACGCGGACGTTCACAATAAGGCGAAAACCGCGAGCACGTCGCAGCTGGCAATGGCGAGCTTTGACACGCCGGTCGGGAAAAGGTCCCTCGCGGCTATGCTGCGCACTCTCACGATGGCCACTGGGCCTGGTCGCGAGTGTTAGGGCAAACCTCGTACGCGTAGGCCTACGGCAAGTGCGGCTCGTTGTGGTACGACCACTTCAAGCACTAGGCACCGCTGTGGGCTTAGCGTACGCTACCGAAGCTAGCACTCAAGTAAACACGCCTGCCGAGGTGCCCAAGGCCACCCCAGGCAGGCTACAGTCCGGCGATTACCAAAGGGGACGCGGACGAAGGAAAACACATGCTTACCCGGCGCCGACCAACGGAAAAGAGAGCGCTCCCCCGGCGCGCGCTTACCGCGTGCCGTGCCCGCACGTGGCGCCATCTATCGCCACGTGGTGTTAACAGAGCGGGAAAGCAAAAGGGTGTGGCCGTGTGGCGGAATGCCCGCGAAATAGTCGCGGGCGCGCCTCAGATCCCCACATCCTCCTCTCCTTAATTCACCCTATATACCGGTCTGCAAAGGCAGCCGGTCGTCGCCCATACATACAAAGGCGTCATGTGATGGGCAACAGCTAGCCTCAGCCTCGCTCTGCAACTGCTGCTGAAGGAAAAAAAAATAAAACAACACAGAATACACATGAGAGAGACAAAAAAACATATATTTTGCCTGCTGCAGCGTTCTTAGGGGGAGGGAGGGGCTCCGCTGTGCTTTATAGTTCCAAAAGACGGTCGACGTCCATGGTAGCGACGCCGTCCATAGGTGGTCCGTCGGTGGCTGCGGGCGGTGGCTGCGGGCGATGGCAGCCCTGACAGTAGTGCCGCGAAATGGGGGTCCTCCCCCATTCGCTGTCGGCACAGGGCCGCCAGGTCCGTGTTCGAGCGCAGGCTCAGCGGGGCTGGATCCGGCACCTTCCTCTCGGTGGCCCTCCCCTCGGCGGCCGCCTTTGTCCGCGCCACGTGCATGGCACCCTTGTAGTGGCACTTGAAGTGCACGGTTACGCGGCACGTGGCGCAGAACCCCACCGCTGCATCGGTGGGTAGTTGGGTGCCTCCGGCTGCTTTCTTGCCCTCCGCCAGCGTGCAGCCACGGAATGGCCACGGGACACGGTCCAGCGGCAGGTCGCGCCGAACACGCCGCTGTGTTTTCCACGGTGCGTCGCTCACGAAATAGCGCAGGACCTCCTGCCCCTCCTGCCGCGCCCACGTGGCCACGCTCCGCCCTGGTGTTTTGGGGACCGGTGGCGGTGCCGATGTTGTTGATCCCCGCCGCCGGGACGCCCGCCTGGTGGACTTGGGTGGTGCCGAGGCGGAAGGTTCTGGCCGCCGAGGCGCCCGCCGTGTGGGTTTCTGGCTGGAGGGCATGTCGCTGAAATACCTGTGACCACGACGACCGGCACCAGAACAAGAATGGCGCACCGCTGACAGTCTCCGGCTTCCCCCCGTCGCCCCACCGACAACCAGCGCCACCTATGTTGACGTAAGGGTCATTGACCCGGTTTTTCCCCTCTCCGCACCACACAGACACACACACCTGCACCACCAGAGTGTGCTTCGTCTCGTCGATGTTGACGACAGCCCTGCGAGTCCGACGAACGCTGCCTCGGTGAAGGTTCGGATGGACCTCACTGCGACAGCCGGCCCTTCTGCTGGAATAATGGTCGCCAAATCCATTGGCTGCGAGGCGTCCTGCGGCGTCGATCGAGTCGTGCACAGCGTCTGCGACAGCTGGCCTCGTGCAGGAGCCTCGTGCAGGTCTCCGAACACCTCCAGAGTCCAAAGTGGTGTAGGGGTCGGTGACTTCCTAATTGTCGCCACACGCACACACACACACGCACACACACCTCCGATGGTCGGGTCTCTCCAAACGCGCTCCGCAAGGGAAGCGCAGAGTGTCATTTGTCCCTCTTCCCACGCTAAAGCACCAATTCACAATCCCCTTCTCTAGCGAGAAGAAAAAAAAAAAGAAAACACGAAAAAAAAAACATCAAGTAAACAACAACACTAAAATGAAAATCAGCAGCAGTAACTGGGTGGAACAGACTTCTTTGCAAGCACTGGCTGTAAAGAAGTTAGCTAACTGAGACTAGAAAGTAAAAATGAGGGCCTTCGGTTGCGGAAATAAGCCCGCCGTCCGGCGCGAAATCACTAAGGTGACCGCTTCCTCAGATTATACCGGTGCGTGGTCCGAATGCGGTCCGCCGCGCCGGGTGTGCGCCGTTGCTTGCGCGAAGAGCCACTGGGCGCTGGCGCAGGCTCGTCAGACCTTGACGCAAAGGCTTTCAGGTCTGCGATGTGGGCACGGCTGAGTTTTCCCGAAAGCGGGTCTTTCAGCAAGTACGCGAGTGGAGTCCAAGCTTTTTCCACTCGGTACGAACTAAGCCACTTTGGAGCGAGCGAAGTTGAGAAACCCTTGCTCGCGTCGCTAAGGGCGTGGTTGCGCTTCAGGACGAGGTCACCCACCTTAAGTGAAAGGTGGCGACGTTTTCGGTCGTACTGGGCCTTTTGCTCGGCCCTGGCCGATGCCAAACTCTGCCTCGCTCTACTGATAGCTCGACAAAGCCTGTCCCAAAGTGTGGAAGCGTAGGCAGAACAGTCTGCCGATTCTTCCTCGTCTCCGAGCTGGCATTGCATAACACTGGTCACCGGATTTGCCAACTCCCTTCCGAAATTAAGGAAGGCGGGAGAGAAACCAGTAGAGCGACTCTCGGAGGTTCGGATTGCAAACGCGAGTTCACTCAAATGGTCTGCCCAGTCCCTTTGACTTTCGGCAAAGGCCGCCAACATCGGTTTGAGCGTACGATTGGTTCGCTCCGTCAAATTGGACTGGGGACGGTAGGGCGAAGTGGTGCAGTGATCTATTCCTAGGGAACGGCACGTATAACCAAACACCCGAGCGGTGAAATACGACGCATTGTCCGTGATCAATCTTTTCGGAAAGCCGAACCGACAAAACACTTCTTGTAGCCTCTCTAGCACCGCTCGCGCTGTCACTTTCCGCAGCGGAAACAGCTCCACCCATTTGGAAAAATGATCAACAACTACCATCAGATGTATGAACCCCTGCTTACTCCTGGGGAACGGCCCCATTAGATCGCAGGTGGCTACTTGCCACGGACGCTCACTGACAATCAGTTTCATCAAGCCGGGCGGCTTGCCACCCCTTGATTTCACTGTTTGACAGACGTGGCAGGAACGGCAATAACAAAAAAATGTCACGCTTTACGCCAAGCCAAGTCACAACCTTGCTCAGTTTCGCAAAACTTTAGAGCCACTCAGGTGACCGGCAATGGGCTCGTCGTGAGAGGCTCGCAACAGTGCGGCTCTCAGACTTTTGGGCATAACCACCTTAAACGGGTCTATGGACTCGTCGTCAGTGGCTATATACTTCAGCAGGAGCCCGTCATGGTCCAGCAAAATTAATCCGCCGGGGACTCAGCGACACACGCTGTTTCAGCCCCCTAATCGCGCCATCCGCCGAACAAGCAGCGTAACGGCGCGCCTCTCAAAACGGTTTAACGGCGCCCGCCGCAAAGCAAGCAGCGTATACGGCGCTCCGTCCCTCCGAGACTCGAAACGGATCACTCTGCTGAGCCTTCAGTAGCTCTTTGCTGTTGACGGTTGGTTTGCCATCATCGCTGGTCCGGACGTCAATGGTTGATTTGCCATCGTAGAGGCAGGCACATGACGTCCACTGTGAAATTCCGTACTGGTACCCCGCACTTTCACTAAATGTAACACGAAGGCACTAGACACACGAACGCAGAGCTGGTATATTACGGCCAATGTAGCTACCTTCGTGTTACAATATCATGAAAACTAGAACCATGAGGCAATAATTAAAAAGATGCGTTTCCACCCCGGGAACAATATTAAAAACAAATTTTCAATGCACTACATTCTTGTCAGCTAGCACATTTCAAAACGATAACTGCATTAACTTAAGGAGATAAAATTTACAAACAGAAAATTTTTACAGTGTAGAGACATTGAACTTTTTAAAAAAAGACTTCTTATGCCACTTTGTTCCTATTTATGTTCACTGCAGTAGTAATATTTTTTGACAATCACGTTGCTGCGAACAGGCGACGAGGATGGCACCTTGGCATAGACGTTCCACTCCTTTTCCTTGAAGCGCCAGAATAGAGACTGGTTGGTTGTGCAGAGTCGACACTTGCGACACTGTTCGAACACGAAAAAAGAAGTGCGCTACCTGTTTGTGTGGTGTATGACATGATTGCGCTCACGTTGTGTACTATGCGTGTTTTTTCGTAGGTCTTTTTTTCGCGTTCATTGCGCGTGTTGTGAGCTTGTTTTTCCTTCTCAATCATGCATTTAGTGAACAAATGAATTTTATTTTTTGGCTACCTAAATCTAAACAAACAAGATTTGCACTGATATCTGGTGGAACGTGGCAGCAGCTGCATACCTGCTGGTCACTGGCCTCAGCCAGGTACTGGGAGTCCTTGAGCAGCTCACAGATGTCGGCACGTGTTCCCTCACCGTTGGGCAGGCGAGCAGCTGCATCCCGCACTGCACAACAACCATGTCATGACAGTGATGTGTGTCCAGCATAGTCATTTTCATTCAGAGTGGTCTTGCAAGAGTGAAAGAGAGGTCATTAATGCATACTGAATGACCATGATATTTGATGAGTTAGCGCACAAAAGGACACCACCACGCACACACACATCTATGCAAACACAAGTGCTAGCGCTTGGGTGATTTTATGTGGGCTGCTTCATAAAATATTATCAGAGGTAAAAAAAAATGATGTGACAAAAAAACAAAAAAAACAACGAAAATATCAAACTTTTACTAGAAGATGACTGTTCCGATAAACATAATTTATTTCACACATCTTTAAAGGAGTCTTGCAACACTTCTTCACTACTGCAAAACTCGCACCCAAACACAAGTGCTGGAAGGATGGCATGGGGAAAGAAAATGAGTGCCTTGAGCTTTTTTGTTTTCCTTCAAATACGCAACATTTTGTGCAAACAAATCATGGCCTCTTGCGATAGCCTCAGTAACGGCTGTGCATGCCATGCTCAAATCAATCAATGGCCGCTACGATGGCTGTGATGAGTGATTTTTGAGCTTGAAGCGTCATTTGTGTAAAGAGGAAAGAGCAATTTCTAGCTGGCTTTGATAATTTTTTGTGAATTCTAGGCTGCGTGTGTAATATTTGGCTTGCAAGTTCTTGGGAGCGTCGATTACTGACTGGTAGCATCTTCTGACATTGATCACAAAGTGTTGCAGGGGGCCTTTGAGCAGTTGGCTCCATTTTCGGAGGATGGCCAGTGCACGGCAGCGGCCTTTTTTCTGTTCTTTCCCCTCTCCACAAAGCTCTATAATTTATCCTACCTGAAAGCATTGGTCATACTGGTTCTAGAAACTTCAGCAGACGCAGTGAATGGCTTAGATTGTTGGGATGCACATGTTTGGTGCATCAAAGGGGCCCCGCAATACTTTTTGAGCTTGGTCGCAAAACGCTGCCGATCGATAGTCGAGGCTTCCCAGAACACGCAAGCCATATATTATGGGATAGCACACGGCCTGGAATTCGCTAAAAAGTCAGCTAAAAATTGCCCTCTCTTCTCTCGACAAATGACGCTACAAGCTCGAAGATCACTCGTCACAGCTGTTGTATTGGCCATTGATTGATTTGAGCAGGATAGCAAACGGCCTGGAATTCACAATAAATTATAAAAGTCAGCTAAAAATTGCCCTCTCTTCTCTCGACAAATGACGCTACAAGCTCGAAGATCACTCGTCACAGCTGTTGTATTGGCCATTGATTGATTTGAGCAGGATAGCGCACGGCCTGGAATTCGCAATAAATTATGAAAGTCAGCTCAAAATTGCCCTCTCTTCTCTCGACAAATGACGCTACAAGCTCGAAGATCACTCGTCACAGCTGTTGTATTGGCCATTGATTGATTTGAGCAGGATAGCACATGGCCTGGAATTCGCAATAAATTATGAAAGTCAGCTGAAAATTGCCCTCTCTTCTCTCGACAAATGACGCTACAAGCTCAAAGATCACTCGTCACAGCTGTTGTATTGGCCATTGATTGATTTGAGCAGGATAGCACACGGCCTGGAATTCACAATAAATTATGAAAGTCAGCTCAAAATTGCCCTCTCTTCTCTCGACAAATGATGCTACAAGCTCAAAAATCACTCGTCATAGCTGTTTTATTGGCCATTGGTTGATTTGAGCATGGCGCGCTCAGTCGTTACTGGGACCATCATAAGAGGCCACGACTTGTCCACGGGCGGCCGCACGATCGCACTGACAAGTCACGCATTAGCTAAAAAAAGGGGGGGGGGGGAGGATAGAAAAAGTTCTCAAGGTCACAAGGCGCACGTGATGTATTTTCTTTTTCCATGTCATTTCTCTCCCATTGTTATTTTTTTATTTATAACATACTGCTGACCTATACTGCAGGAAGGGCACTGGTTTTTCATACAAAACAAAAAGTGTAAGGTCTTTTGAGCCTCGTGGCACATGCGTGTTTTGCACATAGGCGGCATTTAGGGTTCACAATCATCAAGCAGTAGGTGGCGTTGTGCTTGTGAGCCTTTATCACCATTATCATCATCATTATCATCACCAGCAGTGATGTCTGGCGGCAAGGCGGTCTGGCAAGACATGAGAAAAGATTGGCGAGGCTCTTTGGTGCGTGGCGGCTGGCGCTGATGGCTGTCTCCTGATGAGGTCCTGCGGGGTGCGGCGACTATGGGCCATACAACGTGGGTCCCCACATGGTACGGCTGGGACGCCTTCACATGACTTAGGGTTTGTTTCTTATGTTCATTGAGTGTATTAGAATATTGTATAAGGTTGTGTACTTAGCGTGTTGATCACTAGGGATGCATTTGATTCGGTTTATGATATAGTCAATGTAAAAGTAAGTTAAATGTGTAGTTTTAGTTGTGGGGTCTCGACGAGGCGAGCGCGTGCCATGCCACGCTCTTGGAGTGAACGGACAAAGTAGACACGGTCGGTACAAAGCAAACAACATACATTTATTTAACTAATTTAAAATGACGATATCGTCCGCCGAATGACACATCAACTGATATCAATACGCTAGGACACCCTTACACACACACACAGACACTCCAAAACAAACCCAATAACATGACAAACACACAACACGACAAACACGCTAACACACCCAAGGCGGCGGCATCGCCAACGCTTGACTTACTACGAGGGCCCCCGACGCGCAGGCCCGCGGTGCCCCACACCGAGGACCCACACTAGAGACAACCTTTCGCAGCAGCCGCCACGCGCAGAAGAGGCTCGCTCACTCTCGCTCGCCACCAAGGCCTGCCTTCCGCCAGGGGTCACCGCCGGTGCTACCACTCTACCAACAGTGGTACTCAACGCGAACAGGCCATCCATCGTACGGCGGTTATTACCCCCGAAAAACGGCTTCTGTGCGAGACACATGCGCTACACAACGCAAACAACTTTACAGGTGGTGTCAGCCCCCCCACGTAGTTTAGTTCGACCATGTTGGCTGTGTCTGTGTGTTTTGAGAGTGGCGTTCTCATTTCAAGACCCCACAAAGTCCAATACAAAATATCAACACAGTTAGACTAGACAACACACAAAACCTCGAACATAATGCAGAAGGAACCCTAATATTTAAACAAGAAATACCACATAATACCAATATAAAGATAATAAGAATCTGATGTAAGAAATACGGTGGCACAAAAAATGAGACATGGGTGATGAGCTGATTTAGAAAGGTTCATTGGTGCAGTGCCACTAGAACAAATATTTGTAAGCATCCGTCCTTGCAAAATGAGGGGTTAAAGGCATGTGTGTGATCATGATGTGTACGCCTCGTGGACAGAGGGGACGCATATAATGAGGGGTCTATGGACAATTCCCGATTAATTAATTATTGCAGAAAGCTGAAGCAAAGGATCTGGCGGCGTGTTTCAAGCAGCGGAATGTCATTTTCTATCATGTGGGAGAATCGGTGCGCTGGATTCTCTCTATTATTTTAATGTTGTGTTCAGTGTATGGGTCCCATGTGATAAAAGCGTACAGTAATTTGGGTCGAATGAATGTCATATAACTAAGTAATTTAATAGTGGCAAGTGAATTTCGAAGCTCGTGTTTTAGGAAGCAAAGTTTACAGAAAGCATAGCAACAAATATCGTGTTGACTTGCGTAGTAAACGCAACCCCAACTTCAGTCATAAGAATTTAAATTTTTTGCCCCCCCCCCCCCCCCCGCATCGTAAGAAGCGCACCCCCTACATTCATTCGATGCAGTCCCGCCAACCGACACCTGGCACCTTCTCACGCATTGGATCTCCTGCGTTTATTATTATTAATATCATTATGAGCTCGCTCTCTCCACTCCTTCATCCTTTGTCGCGTGTCGTATTGTTTTCCTTTCTATCTGTGAGCGGCAGGTCCCCCGTCTTATCTGTGCGCCACAGTGTGGTTCACGAACGGTGCGAGTGTAGAGACATTGAGCTGATAAGCACACAGCAAGCGAAGGTCACGAAACTGCCTGCGCCAACCGATGCAGGCAGTTTGAAAAAGCTCGATCACGTGCACGCGATTTTTGAGTGGTGACAACAATATTTGCTGTCGCGAAGGGTCGTTCGTCACTATCGCGTGGCAAATTTCTGGAGAATCAGAAAAAAACGCATGCCGTCATAAAAAAATCGTGACGATTTCCACAACACAGTAGCACCCCCTATTCTTTCTTTGCTTGTTATCCGCGTGTAGAGGAACTTTTCGTTTTGAAGCAAGGAGTCAGCTATATTTTGTCGTTAATCTTGTTATCAATGGTGTGTTTTGATGCTTTGGGTGTAGCTTGCTGCAATGTTGGCTACTTGCTACAATGTTAATGGCGTCGTCACGGTCGTCGTGCGAGGTTACCACGAAATTGGCAAAGTGCGTCGTGGCGCACGCTTCTGATGATGATGATGTTTGAAGTTTTGTGGCGCAAGGGCCGTTTCACGGCCAAAGAGCGCCAGTTCATGTTACTAAGAGTATGGACAATGATTGTGATAAGCGGCTGTATAAAGGCCATAAAATTCCTCGCGGTAAGGCGGGTAAAAACATACAAGTAATAAAATCATGACCATGCCGTGAAAGGTGTGTGTGGTGAGGATAGATGACAAGAGTTGGTGATTATAAAAAACGATGGTGGATATGAATGGCATTAGCACAAGTGCCTCACTGGTTCATACCTTTGCGTCCAAGGGCCGTGAGGCAAATGCTTTCTTGTGTAACCGCCGCAGCAAAAACCTCTCTAGAGAGGTCGTGCTACGGAATGCCCGGGTGTATGATATGAAAATTATTAATTTCTTTTAAAAACGCTAGCAATAATTTATGACTAAAAAGCGGTTCCCTACCGACGAACATTGCAGGGTGTAAAGGTATATGCTGTCGGTAGGGTAATGGAAAATGTCGTTTTCTTAGAGTTTCTAAGTGTTTGCACTGGATTAATATGTGAAGGACTGTCAATGCCTCTCCACATCTGTCAC